CCCCAAAACCCCAAAACCCCAAAACCCCAAAACCCCGGAAGTAAGTCAAAAGAAAGATTTATAATATAAATTTATATCAATTTCATATCGATCCTAAAAATGGATTTGAGAGCTAAGATTACGTCTTACGAGCAACATGGCAATGCCACTTACTATGTGTGCAGCTTTAATAGAGGAGAAGGAGAGGAAAGATCATCATGGGAGGTCAGAAAAAGATTCTCTGAGTTTAAGGAGCTCAATAAGAATCTATTAATCAAGCACTCAGATCTTCCTGAGTTACCATCAACAACATGGTTTAAAGTCAAAGATACCAATGCTTTGGAAAGTAGGAAGAAGAGTTTAAATGATTATCTTCAGACTCTTTGTAAGAAAGAGGAGGTTGAAACAGACAATGACTTCCATAATTTCATCAATCTTGAGGAAAACCTGCACAGCATGGTTAAATTCAATAAAGAGAAGCTGCTTTACCAATTCCCTGATTTGCATCAAAGTGTCAAAGATCTCATCGTTCTTGAAGAACAAAAGATCTTAATTGTTGTTTGTGGAGAAGAAGGCATTCAAAGGAGAATCACCTCATTTTGGGATAAATTTAAGTTCCCATTCTTGGCCACAGGAGAGCAAGAGGAATCTCTCGGGAAAGTCGTCATTTTTAAAATCATCGGTACTGACCCATGGCATGTTGAATGACTTTTTGAAGAGAAGCTTAAATCTCAAGCCACTTGTGTTCAGTTTGATGAGTCCACCAATTCATTGGCAGTTGGGTTAGAGAGTGGAAAGATCAGAGTTTTTGAAATCCCTCTTAACTTTGAATTTTTGAAAGATATTCCTTATGAGTCCAACCAAATCACTGCTCATAGTGCAGGAGTCACAGGGATTTGTATGGATGCATTTATTGGCTATATTTACTCTATTGGCAAAGATGGAAACTTCTGTGTCTCTGACAAAACATCATGTGAAAATTATTGGACCAAGAAATTTGATAAATTCCAATTAACCTCTCTATTCCATGATACTGAGAACAAAAGAATCTTTGCAGGAGATAATGGAGGTTACATTCACGTGTTTTCTATCAAAAAGTACCCACCAAAGAGGATCACTAGTATCAGAACGTCTGTGTCAAATTCTATTGCTACTATCACCTCTTCTGAAGATATGAAAAAGCTATATGCTGGAACAGCTGATGGAATGATTCTTTGATTTGATTTAGGATCTTATGGAAAAGAGAAAAAGAATACTAAAGAATACCCCTATAGCTTGAAGAGCACCACCAAGTGCGTCTCACTAGAGAAGGACGAGACCCATAACACTTTGATTTCTGGAAATGAGAGCGGAAATGTGGCAATCTGGTCACCAGAAGTGAAGAAATGAGACTATGTATTTAATGCTCATCTCAAATCTATCACATCTCTTCACTGGAACAAAGATATTAGAAGACTTATCACAGGATCTTCTGATGGTAAGATCAAGGTTTGGAAACTTCCAGAAGTCTGGATGGAACCAGGACAGTTAAAGAAAAGTAAGTCGCATTTATTTAATATTATAGTCGCCCAAATTTTCATCAACGGCAAGGAAGAAGGTAAAGAAGAAACTAAGAAAGATGAAGAAGAGTAATCTTGGCGACTAACAAGTTCTTGGTTAAAACGAAATACATTCAACAATTATCTCATCAAAGGGGTTTTGGGGTTTTGGGGTTTTGGGGTTTTGGGGTTTTGGGGTTTTGGGG